TTTACGGCAATTAGATGCTATGCCGTAATTAATTCTACCACTGGTAAAATGCCGTAATTGCCGTAATTCAGTAATTCCACCACCAACTATAGGTGTATGCAAGTGGTGCGTATGCGCAACGCACGTAGTTTTATTTAGTGACTAACGTTCATTTATATTAATTGTCATTACATTACTGTTACGTAATTATTGTAATTTAATTATTTGTATTGTAGTTAGGAAGATAATTTACAAAATCGATCTGTTTTCATATATACGTTGAATAGGATCTGCATCTCTATTTTACTTATTTGCGCACACTTAAATAAACAGTTATTAAAAAAGTTTATCTTCAGTGAGGTAGTTGTCTTTGTTCTATATAAAGTGATTAAGGTTTTTAGATTTTCCACACTGAAAGTACGTCTTGGTAAAACAGAGACTTATTCTTCAACAATACCTGAGATTACCTAGTACTATAAACTTAATAATATCTATACAGTTGAAGTTTATATTCATGACCACTATTACAGGACAAATAAATCTTATTAACAACCTTCTAGGGATTGTTGATATAAAGCTTAAGTTTATTCCCGTCAGTGTTGGTAATGAGCTCCGTATCGTTGACACTCCTCCATCTGGTGATAAAATTCGCAAGATTCCTTTTAAACAAGATGCTAGTACGACTGCTATTGTCAGCGAAATTGAAATACGTGTCCGTCCTGTTTTAAATGACTGCAATACAAAAGATGACCATACTCATAAGTATAAAGACAGCCATACAAATTCGTTAGAATATCGAACATATACAGCCAAGTTTGATAAAGACATTAGCTTTTATAACGATATCACGCTCAACTTAACCATTGGTGATAAAGATACACATAGTGATAAAGTTACTTTAGGAGTCGGGAATACTACATATACAGCGGTATTGGTCTCCATTAAGAAATATATATTAGATATGAATCAAAATCAGACCAAAAAGAATGTCGGAACTGAAAAGAATGTTGGATGTCCTATGGCCAACAATTTAACCTTTACTCATAAGACAGATAATGACTCGACAATACCACAAGAAGTTAGTAATGACAGTGGCGAAAATTGGCTCTTTCGGTTTATCCATGGCAAGGACAGCAAAAAAGTTCCTCTTACCTCGAAAGATTCGGAAAAACTTTCTGACATATTTGGAGAAAAGTTAAAAAAGTCACACGATGTTATTCCTCTAACTTTACGTCAACTCCTTAATTTTTTGGATGATATTGCTCCGAAACAAAAGTCATTTCTGGTTGCCGATGGGGCACACATAAAATGGTCTGATGACACTAGCCAAATCAATCGACAAGTTCGATTTGTTGTCATTCGTCAACCAGGTGATAAGAAAATACATGACATATTATAAGCATAATTTATATTTAATGAAAGGCATAAAGTGTTATTTTCGACATGTTTACGCTTATCATGATTATTTTCACATACGTATTCTAATATATTTTTTTGTGCACTTTCCATACTTGTTTATTTATAGTAACGATCAGCGGACCGAGCATCAAAGGGCTTAAACCACACAATTTAATATTTATCGTTTCAAGCTCGAAGCTGGATTCAAAAACTGAATTTTTGCAAGTGGCATCTTGGAGTGAAAAATCTCATGCCTTCAACTTTTACCAAAGAAATGGGAATGAATGGTGGTGGTTTGGAAGTTCTTGGGATGCGCTCAATTATCCAACTCGCGGCCAGGCCCCTTCGATGGCCACGTCAATGGCTCATTGATAATGAAGGAACTTAACTTTCCCTGGTTGCATTGGCATTCTCAATCATTTACAATTTTAAATTGCCTAAATCCTAAAGATCCACTTAGATTTGAACTGTATTCCTAAATCGTTCAAATGCGAACGAACTTGAACCTATAATCAAGGGTGCTATCTCGCATTGGAATGGTTCCCGATTGTATGATTCTACGGACCCCGAATCATATAATGTCTCTGACATTAAAAAATTTATGCGGCAGATAATTGACAATACCACTTATAACGTAATTGCATCTGAAACGCAGTATTCAGCCCTTTCATCGAATGATGAATTGTACTTGCCCACATCATTTTTCCTAAACATCAGTGTATTTAATGAACTATCAAATATTGATTTTATAACTCTTGATATTCCTATAATTAAGATTGACGCAGAAAAATATAAGAAAAGCATTGAGACATATGATGTATGTTTGAAAGATGGCAATAGGATTGTCGAGAAAGGTGATGGGATGTTTGCATTCCCCGTTCCGGAACCCGCGTACGAGGATACTTCTTTGTTCTCAATGTTTTTTAATAAAAGAAATTTTAAAGTGGGAGATAGGAAATATTTACCTAAGTTGCTAAGCCCAAAATTTATTCTATGCCTTTTGATGGTCGATTTTTGTAACCCGTTAGATTCAAAACATCGACGTCAGTTGTTGAAACACATTCCGGATACTGCGCAGTATCAAACGAATGGGTTTGCTGTTGATGACAGTAATGTGGATAATGCTAAGTATGACCTTGAGGATAGTATTGTGAAAGGTATAAAGAAAAAAGTCGATAAATTGCCGAAACACTCAGTTGAAGCAGAATTCTTGAAATATTATAACCATGAAAATTTGGTTGACTATTGCAAAGAAACTATCAAGAAATATTTTAGGAACGTACAAAATCGTTTGGGTTCCCAAGATGGTGTCGATGATCTCGTTCGGCTTGCTGATTCTCGTAGACGTATGTTCGGTCTTAGGTCTCTGAGTGAATTCGATTTAACTTTTCCTGTATGTGGCCGCATCTCTTTCGATGCGCCTATACTAGAAATGACGCCACAGGGAATTGTTCGCCCCATACTGTTGACAGTGGAAAAACGCGACTACGCAAATATTGCCAGACTATTTGATCTAAATTTCACCACTAATAGAGAAGCTCGCAAACTCGAAATGTTTGATCCGCCTGCATATCTCAGAGACATCGTCGACATGAGCTCTGACTTCTACAGAGAGTGGAGTGATTTAGTGTCTAAAGTAACAGATTACATTATCGATGCGCATAAAGAAACTTACGATTTAGTTGGCTTACAGTATTACAATCCTAAAAAAGTAATAACGTCTGAGGATGCAATAGAAACTAATATTGTTTGGACTGCATTTCCAAAGGGAGTTAAAAAGAAAGCAGCCACAGACAAGGAACGTTGGAAGATTGCTGATTCGTCACGTGAAAAGCAAGATTAATACTGTGAATGGAGCGTAATGAAAAAAGAAGGAAAAATCGTCAAGGTTACATTTACATGCGAAGTTCCAGAATATTGGGAATTACTCGCTCTAAAAGATGACGATAAATTACTAGAATTGTATTCTGAATTAACTGGACAAAGTGTATCAAAGGATGATATTTTTGTTAACAAAAAGTATGACCGAAAAAATAAGTGGAATTACAATAGTAATAGTGGAAATATTATACATTTGCTCCATGAGAACAGCACGCTCATTGATGGAGTTGATGTTACTGTTTGCTCCAGTATTGTTCGTGTCACCGATGAAAAATGTGTCATTAATGAACGTAATTTGACTACCGAGCAGGAACTCATTAAATATGGCCTGAATGGCAAACCTGATAGGTTTTCTGATCCTCATATTGGGGCATTCGTGAATAAGATTACTCGTCTAGGTGCAGATGTGACAATTCGTAACCCACCCGCCATTTATTTTAATGATCTGGATACTTCCTTATTCAAAACTCCCGATGGATCTGATCCAAAAAATCACTGGCATATTCTCCGTGGACCTGAAGATGGTTATGTCCGTGCTTCCTATGAGGTTATTGATGGAAATTTTTGTGTTGGGGACATCCATATCGATGGAGTTCCTATTGATTTCGGTGCGCATATTGCTGATTTCATTACTATGCGTATTCCGATTATTGCTTGTCGTTTCGGGCAAAGTACCATCCCACCTTTTATCGTAAAATCAATGTCTAACTCAAATATATGCCAAAATATTTCTTTCGATGATATACTTAACGCTATTAGTAAAAATTCCTAGTGATTGTGGTTGATGAAAATATTGTCATTTTTTAACAATAATAAAGGAAAATATATATGCTGCATCCGTTGTAAGGGGCAACTTTATTATTATTATTATTTTTATTTTATTTTATTTTATTTTATTACCGTTACTATTATTATTATTATATATGTTACTTAACTTAGTCTATAGGACTGGACGATAAGCCCGTTTAATTAGACTTATCCGCTTTCGTGACTTTAGCCACGTTATTAAATTTAGCTGCTTTGTTCGTATAGTAGCTTTATCCTTTTCGTGAATATAGTCGCTTTATTTACTTTCTCCACTATATTTTTTTTATTAGCTTTATCATTTTTCGCGGCTAAAATGTAACTTCTAAAAAAAACCTGTATTATGATAGTCCTATAAAAAGTATAAAAGCGAAGACTCTTCGCGTCGAAAATAAAACAGAACTCAGTTGAGTAATACTTCGAAACCATTGTAGTAGAAGTACTCCAGTAGTTTTATACTTATCTCGTTATTCCTTAAATAAAACGATTAGAAATATACCTTGATCCAGTTATAATTGATAAACTCTTGAAAGTCTTGACCTTCGAAATTATCCCAAGTTTTTCGACTCTTAGAGAAAATAACAATTGAAACCCTTAAGCATACCGATACACTTATAATTTCCGTGATGCACTAATTAGTGTAACAATCAATTAAATCGATCTTCGTAACATAAGAATCCCGTGCCGTTGATCCGAATTACTGTACTAAAATACAATTATGCATGCGGTCAAATGTGAAAATTCTCAAAGTTATGCTTTTTGATAAACAATGTAAATCAACTACTGGATTAATCAAAAACGTAAATATGAATATAATTTTTGTATCACTTTGACTAAACATTAAATGTCCTCCACGCTTCAAGTATCGATTTTTTTTTCTTCTTTAAATAAAATGGACTCTGAACAACTTCGTACACTTGGTTACAATCATCAACATGCTATTGGTGTTAATAAAGACGAAAAGAAGGCTTTTGAATATTATATTAAAGCAGCTGAGTTAGGAAATCTAGTTGCAATACTTGATGTTGGTCTTTGTTATTATTATGGAATCGGAGTAGAAATAAATTATAAGAAATCCTTTAAATATCGTAAGAGATCGGCTGATCTGGGTAATGCAATTGCAATAAATGGTGTTGGTTTTTGTTATGAGATTATAATAAAGCATTTGAATACTATGAAAAATCTGCCAATATGGGTATTGTTCCGGCAATGAATAATGTCGCTCGACTTTATCGAAACGGTACCGGTACAAAGAAAGATATTCAAAAAGCAAATTATTGGTTCACAAAATATAGAAGTTTTTTGAAAACTAATAAATCAC